AAGCGCAGTACAGCTTCCAACTCAGATCTGAAAAAAAATTAGCGGATGGTTGTTTTCTGACTGGTCGGCAGACCGCCGACCGGTCGGCCCTACTGGTCGGCTGCAATACGGTTGGCGGTCGAGGTCGGCGGTCAGCAGGGATGCAACCATGTTCCTATGCCAAAAAAGTCGAGTATTTAAAGCACCTTCCGTCTTCCCGTCTCCTCCTCTCCCTCTTTCTCTCCCTTCCTCTCTCCCTCTTCTCTCCCTCCCTGGACTTCGTTCTCTTGCACTCCTTTCTCTTCCCCCCTCAGCTTCCTATGCCAAAAAAGTTGGATATTTAACAAGATCGAAGTGGAAACATTTGCTAAAAGTATAGTTGGAACTAAAAAACCAGCAATCCGCTGAGGAAGCCAATGTGTCAATCTTTCTCTATTAGCTTTCATAATTCATTTATACCTTTTTCTGCTCTCATTGACTCCCTTCTTCTCCCTTCCCTTTCCTTCCCTTTGGCTCCATTCCATTTGTTTTTGTCTTTTGTTCACTTTTGTGAAGAACCCAGTCTCATCGGAAAGCCAATCAGCAATGCAATGGATGTCTGAACCCAGCAAGACTCATGGAGTTCCCAATCATCAGCTACAAGTTCAAGTCTCGATCATATGCACAACTCGAGAGTATTATACTATCATCCCGTCAAAGAAGAGCATGAGAGAAGAGCAAGGGGAGAGAAGAGACAGAGAAGAGGAGGGTGACAGTCTCAATGATAACCAATGATACATGTATGTCTCACTCTCTCTCCCAGTTCCACTTCAGGCTTCTCCCCTCTCACCACCTCAGCAATCAGACATGGAGGATGGCGCAGAACTTCTTCACCTTCGTGGAGACAGCAGCAGAATACACGTGTCGTCGCCAGGTAAGTCCAGGTAAGCTTCCCCACATCTCTCGTCAGCCTCACAGCCCTAATCCTCCTCCTCCTCGCCAATCCTCATCACCTAGTTTACAACTACGCGGCTATGGCCGCAGCAGCATAATCTCCTTCTAGACTGGTGCCCACTTCGAGCATCTGGCGCCAGCATCCAGCTCCAGCAGCCTCGCGATACAGCACTAGCATCAAGCCAGCACAAGGCAGAATGTTCTCCACTGTGGCTTGGTCCACTCTTTATAGTGTTGACTCACGCTGACCAGCCTCCAGTCTCTTTGGGTCGACGGCCCCCTGCAAGTCGACGGCCGGGATGCAGCGCAGTCCCGGGTTTTCCCTGCGTCCCACTGGTACTGGAATCTTCTGGATACCTGCAGGCAACCAATGATGTGCTTCTGATCGACGGCCGTGGCTGACCAGCGGATTGACTTTGACTTTGGGCCTCATTCTTCCGTGCTGTGTCTGACTGTTGACTTTTCAAAAGTCAACTGTCCCTCGTGGGGGTTCTGGACGCAGCTTTTGACTCACGCCAAGATACCCCATGACCCTAGGTCCTTTTTCAGACAATTTCCAGACTTGGGACGTGCATTTTGACCCCCGTTTCAGGCCTTTGACGAAAAGTGACGGCCCATAACCTGCGGCTATACGAATTTGGACTGAATTTATTGCACTTTTGTTTATCAAAAGGGCGGCAACCTTGAAATATCATCATCTAACTGACCGTCCCTAGGCAATTCAGAAGTGTAGTATTTTACTCATCCGCTTCCAGTGGAGTTCGAACTCAGGTCTGTATTTCAAAAGTTCAGGAGCGTCCCAACCCAGCTAGGCCAGTTGGTCCCTTCCATTTGTTTCCCTTACCATTCCCTTCACTTCCCTCCCCTTCCCATCACTTTGCTTCCTTCCCTCACCTTTCTGATGTTCCTTCTGTCCGCTTCCCTGCTTCCCCTCCTCACTTTTCTTACTTCAGTTTTTCCCTTCGCCTTTTTCATAAAGGGTGATGGCCCTGAGATAGCATCTTTTTAACTGACCTGCCTCAGGTAAATTCAAAGTTGTTTTCACTTATCTGCTTCCATTGGGAATCCGAACTCGTGTCCGTATTTCAACACTTCATGGGGGTACCAACTAAGCTAGGCCAGTTGGTATCCCTTTCTTTTCAATCTTAAAGTTTCTTCCATTCTTTCCTCCTTTTTTATTTCCTTCCTTTCCCTCCTCTCTTTCGTTACATTCCTTTGCTTCCTCTCCTTTCAACCCTCCCTTCCACTCCCTCACCCTCGCTTTCTTCCATGATTTCTCTCCATTCCCCCTCATTCCTCCATTCCCTTCCTTTTGTTCCTCCCTTTCCCTTTCTTCCCAATCTTCGTTTTCCCTAGCATTCCCCCAGTTTCCCTTCCTTTCCTTCCCTGCCCTTCTTCCCTTCCTTCCCTTGCTTTCATTTTCCCTTGTCCATGACACCCCTTCGTTCAGTGCACCTTGATCGCTTCTTTCCGTCCCTCTCTGCCGCTTCCTCCCATTCGGCCCCCTCCTTCCCCTCTGACCTTCTCTTCCTCCATCCCATCCGTTCTTTTCTCCCATTGTTCCTTTTCTCCCTCTCCTTCTTTCCCTCTGTTCAGTTGCTGCCTCGCTTCCTTCCCTTCATTCCTCTCTTCCTTCCTCCCCTTAGTGCCCATATTCCCTGCCAAATCCCCCCTTCCTTTTCTCCCTTCTGCTGCTTCTCTCCATTCCTTCCCTACCTTCCTTTCGTCTTCCCCTGCATCCCCTCCCTCCCTTTTCTCTCTGCCTCTCTCCCTGCCCTCTCCTCCCTCCCTTTGAATCCCTTCATTATTCCTCCATCCCGTCTCCTCCCCTCCTCCCCTCCTCCCCTCTCCTCCTCAATGAGTTTCTTCTGGGGCTTCTGAACACCCTCATGAAGTGTGTGACACCTGAAGGGGGGAAGGCATGACTACAGCACTGGCAAACAGTAGTGACAAGTTTCTTGTGTTGACTTTCCAGCTTCTCTGCCGCCAAGAAGAATACACATGGATGGCTATTGACATCAGTTGTTCTGTTTGGATGTCTCCAACTTGGTAGTGCCACTGATGTCTTGTTATGTGCTCGATTGATTCACAACTCAAAACCGCATTCAAATGTTCCCATACACATCTGTAATGGCAGGCAGACTGGAGAGAGCAGATTCACACCATAGCCATGGAGAGATATTGCACAGCGGAAGCCACAAGCAAAAGCGATTGAGAAAATACCGTTTTTCAATCAATTATTGAATCCCCCTGCTCGCCTCCATCTCAATCGAACAACACTCCGAAGATACTCAACCACTAATTTAGTTCTACCCTCGATTAAACCCCAACAATACACTTCAACGAAGTGTGGTTGACGGGGATAGGAAAAGAAATCACTGCTGTGCTTTCTGAGACGGTTTGGGTGCGGGTTACAGGGATTCAAAGAAAGTTTCTGCTAACTTACCTGTATCTGTTACTGCCCAGTGTTGCCTGAAGACACCAGCCTGTTTATTTCCTCTAACCAATTTGCAGCTTGCATACAAACAGCACAGTCTAATTCTTATTATTTGTGTTCTGCGCGTGAACGCTAAATTGAGTTATTATTATTTTTTTTAATGTTTTTTACTAACAAATAAATAAAATTTTGGGAAACGATATTCGTTGCTCAAGGTTGTGTCTATGTGCGGTTGGGTGTCAGTCATTGTTGTCAGTCTCTGCACCTACTGAAAACGGTCCTATGCCAAGTTGGGAACTGGTGAGTGAACCGATCAGCAGGAGTTGACAGATTAGTCAAGGCTGCCATTGGATGTACGACCCTGTTGGTAAGTCTTGTTGGTGAGTGCCATTGCCGCAAGTCAGTCAGCAAACATCCCGTGCAAGTCTGTTAATCTGTTTGGGTTGGGAATCAACACCATATTCCATATCTGAGTAGACTAGTACAGTACATGGTCTTCCGCCTTCGACCACTTCCATGTTATCTTGTTGTTTGAAAAGAACCTTCCGGAATGGGGGAAGGGAGTTCAGTTAGCGCAGGGAATTGCAAGTTGCCTGTCACTGAGCTAGAGATTGGAAAAGTAGGTAAGGCTGCAGAGGCAGCCGGGTTGCAGTTGGAGCAGATGGGGAAGCGGTAGGAAGGAAGGTCGAGACACTCCGAGGAAGTGAGGAGGGAAGAACACAGCTCCTGCGATGAAAATTTGACTTCGATGGCGGATAGATTGTCCATCATTGAAACCAAACTTTCCTCCCTTGCAAATTCCTTTGATCATTTTGTGGCAGTCATCGATCTATGTTTCCCCCCTCCTCCTACTCCCCAACTATTCCTACTCCTACTCCTACTCCTCCTGCTACACCCCATTCCAATCCAAGGTCCTCTACTGCTGCATCATCCCAAGACAGTAGCCCCAAGAGCAGACCGACTACACCTCCAAAGGTGCAATCTCTGCAGCTTGTGGAAGGGCACCCTGGGACTTATGAGGCTAAAGTGACTGAACGCCTAGGCCAGCAGAAATCGAGGCGTCCCAAGACAGTCCAACCTGACACATTCACTGGGGATAACCCCAAAGTGGATGTAGCAGATTGGACTGCCTCGATGAGATGTTACCTCATGGAACTCACTTTTCCCAGAGGTTACCGAGGCGGAATCCACTCTGGCCCGTTGGGGAGGGCCTGCACTTCAATGGGCTACTTCTGAGGCCAATAAGGCCCAGAAACAGCTGGCTGACTGGGCTGTTAGAGTAGGATTGGACCATATATTTAAGGGTCTGGAGTAGAGGTTCGTGGATCTAGAGAAAGCCAAGAATGCTACTGGAGAGCTTGTGAGTATAGGCTAGTCAGCGTGGCAGGGATCCCTCTCCAAGCTCTACACAGTTTGGAAAAGGCTAACCTCTACACCTGGGTTATCCATGTCAGACCAGGACAAATTGCAATTGTTTGTCCAGGCTACCCCGGTAACTTACGTACAGACCCTATTTTATGTAGGTCACAAGGATTGGAAGGCCTTTGGCAAAGCAGCCTTGGATCTGGAGGCCCAACTCCAAATCCAGTCCACTTCCCAGGCGTGAAGCACCTCCCCTTCTCAGAGTCAGAAGAAGAGCAAAGGGAGGTGGCATGCGATGGCGTCTGCAAAAGACTTTGCAGGATTTGACCAGAGAGGATTGACTCCGTAAGATGGTCAAGGTGCAGGAGGCTTCCCATACCAGGCTTTTTTTACTTCGACTCAGGAACTGGTAAGCGCCATGAAGGGCGCAAATCAGCTCCAGAGACAAAGGTCCCCCTCTCCTATGGGGTCTGGCAAACGCCCTTGTGGACCTCGGAAGCAGAATCTACCCAAGTTTGTGAAATGTCCAGCTAACCCCATGGATCCTTCCTCTCTCCCATGGAGGGACTTGCGTATCCCAGACGGGCTATGGCAAAAGAGGTAGGATGCCGGCGTCTGCCTCAGATGTGCTGGGCAACATTTTGTCAAGTGTTGCCCTTCTTGGGGCAACCACTACCCTATAACCTGACCCATTCAGCAGTGGATTCTGCTGAAGTGAGTATCCTTTTGTTAGAAAAGGAGCAGCTTCAGTTTGATGGGTGTGTTCAGCTGACCAAAGTCTGTTCATTGTGTAGTTACATTGAGCCTGATTCCTTCGCTGATCAACCCGACTTGCCTGTGCATCACCTGTGCTTGTGGAAGAATCCCCTAAGTTCCGGGCTGATCCCATTTCTCAAACACCGCTGATGGACAGACTGTTAACTTGACTGAATTCATCTTCTTTTGAAGATGAATCAGCCCTAAGATCGCTTTCAGTCTGACAAGAATTCCAATGTGAGTTTTCATTGAATCCTTGTCTGACTACCCACTTGTATTTCCTGTGAGTGGCTTCACTGTCTGATCTTGTTGGTGTACTAACACTAAACTGCACTCATGGTATGGCTGACCTGTGTTCGAGAGAGAGTATGATTAGTGCAAAATTGCAAATTCTACTCATGATTCTCACACACAATCTTGATTACTGCTGTCACAAGTAGAAGTCGGATCTTTTGTTCTTCCTTGTGGTTGTGCACAGGTATTGACAATATTCTGAACTTAACTTTGGAGCTGTAAATTCCTTTTATCCCCTGGGATTTGTCCCAGGATTGCCTTAAAAAGTGATTGACAAGCGTAAAGCTCTGTTTGTGACTAAAGACCTTAATCAGATAGACCTTCCCTACAAATGATTTTATCGTCCAAGCGTTATTGCTGCATATGATGGGCTCAGGCCCATATACACATCTCGTCAGAGCCTACCTCAGGGAAGAATCTGCATATAGCGTTTGTCGATACAGAGATCAGTCTCAAGGTGTCTAACTGATATCTATTCCAGGCAGGAATTAATCATATTTCCAGAACCAGCGGGTTACAGCAAAGTTGATTACCAGGTTAATACCCTTGGATTCCAACTAGCTAGCCCGTATTGTTAATCTGAACATCAGTTATCTGATTTTCAGGCTGTTGGCTATCTATAAGCTGATTACTAGGCTGATACCCTCGCATTCAGCTAGCCATCACTTGCTGATAATCTGCTATGAGACAGTGGTTATCAAATTTCCTGATGTTCATTGGATGATGCTTTTGTGACCCTTGCTCCGTCATGGATGCAGATGGTGTTTCCCGTTGGGGCCATTGTCATTTTGGCAACACTAGTGCTTGCAGCTCACCCGTCAGAGATTGAGCTCAGGTTATCATCAACAGTGGCCCTGCTACTCGCACTTGTAGCTGTACAGTTTACAACGAACTCGCTGGTAAGAAATTTCTTCTACGCATCGGATTCCATCCAACATCTCTGATGGCAGGCTGGAAACAATAAAGACAATTGTTACAGTGGTCAAAGCATGCTGAAGAGGTCTGATTCACAGCAGACCAAGATCTTGCCTTCCCACCTTTGTTACTTCAAACGTTATGTATGCATTGCACTCAAGATCCAATTCACACCAGCAAGATCCACACGATATGAGTATACACAGAACTTATTTACAACTTGAAATGGTATACATAGGTTTCTCAAGGTCTGCTGCTATGGCCACCAGACAATGACGAGGGGCAGGTAACTCTCTCTCTCTCTCTCTCTCTCTCTCTCTCTCTCTCTCTCTCTCTCTCTCTCTCTCTCTCT